AATGCCCTGCACAGTACGTGGAGTTGGATTAACTTCCGGTTGGTAATATTAATAAGGACTTATGGAGCGATCAATTGATTTCTGCTCACTGGCCTTACCTGCTGCCTTGCTCGTTGAAGCTCTTGTTCTAGTTGTGCCAACTTGATCCGGCTACTCTCAAGTTGCTGAACGTATGCCTATATCCCATGAATGACTGTCAGATGGTATACTTTGTCATAAAATTCAAGCAAAAAGGCACAATGCAAGGGGAAAAAAAGGATGAACAGACATAGCTCACAATCAACAACTATATCAACAAACACCAAATACAATTTGGTAACGAAATATAGTTAAAAAAAAACAAAATCTAGTGCACAGAAATGTTGTTTGTACTGTAATTGACTAAAGACCAGCAAAAAGGCAAGTGGATAAATAACATAAACTTATTAGTGTCCCGTATTCTATGTGTAAGAATGTAGATCCTGTGAACACGTGAAATCAGTTTGTGTTTGTGGGGGCCACACTTGGCCCTTGTTTTCTTTCACATGACCGCGTGAAGGGATTGAGTTTTGCGGATGAAAAAAATCGGCCCATGAACACGTTTTTTGTCAGGCTATAAATAGCCATATATATTCTGTCCTAGGGTTTGGTGCAGAGAAGGAAAAGTGGGGGCGTGCAATTTGTGTGGCTGCAGAGAAAAACAAAGTGCGAAGGAGGCGTGCAAGGAGTTGTGCGGCTTCGGGCGTGTGAGGTTTTGCTGCTTTGGAGACTTGATTGATTTTGCGGCTGCGACAGAAAAATCACAGCAGGGGAAAGTTGTGCGGCTACAGTGCAGGAGATTTGTGCAAGGCTTTTGTGCATCTTTTGTAGAAAGTTATTGTGAGGGATTTGAGAGTTTGTTTGAGGGTTTAGTTTGTGAGTGATTATAAACCCTAGTTGTAATCTCTCCCTCTATTAGTAGATCTCCCCCCTCCTTACCCCGTGGACGTAGGCAATTTGCCGAACCACGTAAAAATTGGTTGTACTGTTTTTGTGTGATTTGTAATAGCTTTTAGGATCCCTCGACAGGTCAGTCCTAGAACTGATGAGAGGAAGAGTGTATACCTCACGTATCTGTTTAGTATCTAATGGGCTTTGGGCCAAGTAGGCCTTTGGGTCAATTAGTGCTATGCTTTAGCACTATATAAGTATCTCTAATGTGAGAGCGCTTGAGGTGAGAGTGGGGGCTTTGGAGAGAACATGAGTGAAAACTATGTGTGTGAGGATGAGAGGGTGAGAGATAAGTGTCTCTCTTGTATGTTCTCGCCTTACATAGTAGATTTCTCATATTGTTTGTCCAGTGAATGTAAATCAAACTTGATCAACCAAACCATGTAAATCTCAGTGTTTCTCTTCTTTTGTGTTGTTTTTTTATCTTGCAAACTTGTGGTTTGATCTTCGAGTTGCGGACATTGAAATTGGGGATTGATGATTTGCTAACAAGCGCTATCAAAGCCCCTAGTGATGGATCTTGGAGAGAGTTTCGAAGATAGAGGCCGACGATGTGCAAAATAAAAAATCAGTGGTGTAAGAGTCAAGAAAAGAGAAAAAAGAAAAAAGAAAAAAAAAAGAGAGATCTTTGTGTAGCTCTAGCCCAGATTTGAGATTTCTTGCATCAGATCTACATTCGCAAGAAGTTTAGCTGGAATTGTGGTTCTCCGGTGAATGCTACAGTCATCATGCTGAATCCGGCAGTAAATGTCCTTGAGCGGCAACGGGGATTAGCCATCGAAGGCTACAGGGTCTGGTCACGAGCTTGGAGACGCTGTCGAAGGAGTGGTGGATGGCTGCGGGAGGCGATGGGGATGAATTGCCGCGAGCGGCATCATCAGCGGGGTTCCCAAGCAAACGACGAAGCGATCCATGAAGGTGGCGATGAATATAGTCACTAAGGCACAGGAGGCGTTGAAGTTTCAATGGTAGATGTTGGCCACTAGAGGTGGCAAGGACTAGCCTCGGGAGGCGGCGAAGACAAGTCACAGACTTTGGTGGCGACTATAAGGAGCTAGGGTTTCTCATGGTCATCGGATTTCTCTATGTTCGCGTGAAACAACGAGTGAGAGGAACACATTACCATGAAAATCCCGTGGTTAGGTCCTTTAGTGTTTGTTGTTTTTGTGTTTGGTATTTGATTCTGACATGTGGAGTAAATGCTAAATGATCATTTGTGTGATCATGATAGCAAACATAGGACTTTGTTTGATCTATGGTTGCTTGTATGGTGGGTAGTTGTTGTCGGTGAGTTGGATTGGATTTCAAATCCAGACCACACAGTGCACATAGTTTTGCCAGTAGATTGACAAATTACAGGTCAATGGAGATAAAGCAGAAGTCAAATCATAGATTTTTTGACATTCTGGGCACAATAGCGGAAGCAAACCGATATGATTCTATTTGCAGCCATTTTCGAACAAGGAGAGGTTGATCAGATGAAGATTGATGTATTGTGTCGATGGTTTGTATGAGGTATGATTATATATATTATTGTTTGTTGATGTTAGTTCTAGATATAGCATGACACATAGCATAGATGATCGAGGGTCTTCAGAGTTGTTATGGTGTTTGGTTTGAGGTGGAGCATGCGATGCTTAAGATGATCTAGAAGTTTTGACTAAGGTGGAGTATGGTTGCGTGATCAAAGGTGCTTGTCTGGGGGATTAATTATCATTTTTTTTTCTCGGGTGATGAAGCATGGTACATGTGTAGTGTTTGTCTAAGAACTAGATGACGAGAACATCGAAGTATCTCAGTGTGTTGTGTGAAGCTTGGAGACCAATTTGTCTACGGATGGTTGGTGCCCAGAGATGTGACTCATGGTTCCCGTGAAGAGGTTAACTTAGATTCTAATGTAGCGGTGAAAACAAAGAAAATATTTTCACGACGACTTCCTCCAAGAAAGCCTTAACATGAGGACTTTCTCAAAGATAATCGCCGAAAATTGGCTTTAGTCTCTTCAAAAGAAAATTTTATTCAATTCTAAAAGATAATGGCCACTGCCCCAAAACAAAGTATTTAGAGGAAAATTCTAAAACCCTAAAAAAGTCTAAAATAAAATTACTAAATTACTTAACAGAAAATGCGAATTTGAGGCCCTAAACGTTCTTAGATGCCTGAAAAATAGCGGATCTCGTGGCAAAGCAATGAGGCTTGCTCGTTGGCTTGTTTCGTGAACCGAGTAAATTTCGGCCCATTGGGACACTACTTTTCGATCCTAAATAACTTTTTGTTCTGCATTCCTCTCCCCCGCTTAAAAAGGACTCGTCCTCGAGGTCGTTCCAGGATAAAGAGGATCATCGGGGAAGTGTAAGATCAAATCAGCAACATTGAATGTCGAAGAGATTGCCCACCCATCTAGAAGGTCGATAACATATGCATTAAAGTGATCTTCTTCAAAATCTTGCAAGATCTAATCTTTTTCGGCTTCAGCTTGCTTGTTGTATGTCCCTGTAGGAAACCTCTCCTTGTGCAAATGTACCATAACTAAATCACCTTTAGCAAACACCTTCGGTCGATGACCCTTATCAACAGATTGTTTATATTTAGCATTGGACACTTCAATATTATGTTTAACCCCAGCCTATATTTCATCAATCTTTGTAGCTATATGTTCAGCACCAATACTATATCCCGACAATTTTGGTAAAGGTATCAAATCAAGTGTGCATTGCGGAGGTCGTTGATACACAATGTTGAAGAGTCTTACCAGTTGTACGATTGACTACGTTATTAAATGCAAACTCAACAGGAGCGAGAGTTAAATCCTATTGCTTGGGTCTATCACTACACAAACACTGAATAATCAACCCCAAAGTTCAATTGACCACTTCAGTTTGCCATCTATTTGGGGATGAAAAGAACTACTGAACCGGAACTCAGTCCGAAATATAAACCACAATGAACACCAAAAATGACTAAGAAACTTGGTATCCCGATATGAAGTTGCGGGTGTAGGAATACCATGCAAACGAACCACCTCCCGAAAAGTAACCCAGCAATGTGAGTAGTATACTAAGTCTTCTTGCACGGGATAAAGTGCCCCATCTTCGGAAATCGATCAACCACTACAAAAATAAAAGCATGAGCAATTTGCGTACGTGGTAGTCCCAACACAAAATCCATAGAAACATCTTCCCAAGGAGCTGTAGGAATAGGTAAAGATGTGTACAAGCCCGTGTTTCTGAGACTACCCCTTGCAAGTTTAATAAATCATACACTTTTGCACAACTCGAGAGACATCATGCTTCAATTGTGGCCAATAGTAATGTTTTTCCACCATAGCAAACGTGTTATCCCTACCAAAATGACCTCTTCGATGTAAACTTCTCTCGTATGAACCCCTTCAGGATGCACAGCTAATCCTTGTAAAATAGAAACCCATCGTGCAACATAAAAGGACCAATATCTCCCGTGTTGCACCATGCCCACTCATTTGTGAAGTCAACATCATCTTAGTACAACTCTTTTGCGGCAGTCAAATCCTATTATTTCACCCTACATGTGATGTAGGACAAAAAGTTAAGTAGGAATAAAAAGTCAAAGTGTCCGAATGGGCTAAAATTTGCATTGCTCAGGCGAAACAAACCAACGAGTAAGACCTATAGCTTTGCTATGAGATTCGCTGCTTTTCGGACATCTGAGATCGTTTAGGGCCTTAAATTTGCAATTTGCTATTTTTTATTTTCTGTTGGGTAATTTAGTAATTCTATTATAAACTTCTTTTAGAGTTTTCCTTTAAGTACTTTGTTTTGAGGCAGTGGCTATCACCTTTAAAAATTGAATAAAATTTTCTATTGAAGAAACCATAGTCAATTTTCAGCGTTTATCTTTGAGTAAGTCCTCGTGGTAAGGCTTTGTTGGAGGCAGTCCTCATGGAAAGGCTTTCTTTGTTTTTAATGCTACGTCATATTTACATTGGTGTAATTTAGATACAAGCCAAGGCGAAGATTGTTAGGATATGTCCCATATCTATTTAGTGTCTAATGAGCTTTAGGCCAAGTAGGCCTTTGGGCCAATAAGCATCTATAATGTGAGAGGGCTTGAGGTGAGATTGGGGGCTTTGGAGAGAAGATGAGTGGGAACTGTGTATGAAGTTGAGAGAGGGTGAGAGATAAGTGATTCTCTTGTATTGTTCTCCCTCTTACATAGTAGATTTCTCGTG